GGCACCATCAGTGAATAGGGTCCAGACCCCAAGTTAGTCCCCAAGGCGAGTAGTAATTCTTTATCGATCTCGAGAATTATGGCCGGTGTAAAATCGGCCACAAAGTCTGCTAATATCTAGGACTTTATAGCTGTCTGGGATTTGTATTAAATATCGTACCCACTAATCTCTACGACCCACTTTGCTAGTTGGCCTGAGAATTCGGGTTTATGCATAACATTTTTAACGGGTACGACGTCACATGCATAGAGTATGATATTGAAAATATGAATTTAGTTTCCTAGATGCACTTAGCAAAGCAAACGCCAATTTATTTTAGGAGTGGATACCTCGTCTTGGCATTACCTAAGGTTCTACTAACATAATATATAGGAAATTGAGTACCTTCTTCTTCCTGAACCAGGACACCACTTACTGCTATCTTGGACACTGCCAAATAAAGGTATAGTTGCTCGTTCGCCTTCAGGGTGTGAAACAAAGGAGGGATTGACAAGTATTATTTGAGTTCCTCCAAAGCTTTTTGGCACTCCGGGGTCTAGGCGAAGTTGCTCTTTTTCTTTAGTAACGAGAAAAATCGGTGGCTTTTATCTAACGACCTGGAAATGAATCGGCCCAATGCGGCTATTTGTCTGGTCACTCTTTGCACTGCCTTGACGTCGTTAACCATAGTGCTATCTTGTATGGCCTTTATTTTATCTGGGTTGATCTTTATTCCTCGGTTAGATATCACGAAACCAAGGAACTTGCCCGAGCCGACTCCGAAGGCACACTTCTCTAGGTTCAACTTCATCTTATATTTTCTTAGTATATAAAAGATTTCTTGCAAATGCCTCAAATTGTCCTCCACTCACAGGGACTTAACTAACATGCCATCAATATAACCCTCCATTAATTTCCCTATTTGTTCATTGAACATTCGGTTAACTAGGCATTGGTATGTGGCACCGACATTTTTTAACCCAAAGGGCATTAAATTATAACAATAAGTGTCGAACCTAGTTATAAAAGAGGTTTTCTCTTGGTCCTCTGGGTTCATCCGTATTTGGTTGTACCCGGAATAGGTGTCGAGAAAGATCAACATATCATCTCCTACTATTGACTCGATCATTCGGTCGATATTAGGCAAAGGAAATAAGTCATTTGGGCATGCTTTATTCAAATTCTTATAATCTACACACATTCTAAATTTCTTTCCCTTTTTAGGTACGACCACTATGTCAGCTAACCAATCCGTATATTTGACTTCCCGAATGAAACCTATTTTTAAAAGTTTAGATACCTCGTCCTTGATAAATGTGTGTTTGACCTCGGACTGTGGCCTCCTCTTCTGTTTAACCGAATGAAAGCTCAGATCCAAACTCAATTTGTGAGTTGTTATCTCCGGTGGAATTCCTGTCATATCTAAGTAGGACCAGGCAAAACAATTAGCATAACTGTAAGAAAATCAATGAGTTTTTTCCAGAGCTTGGGGGTCAGCCCCGTGCCCAGGTATACCTTTTTATTCGGTAGATGCACAAATAGTATAACTTGTTCTAGTTCCTCGATTATTGACTAGGTTGCGCCAGTGTCATCAGGTGCCATGAAGGATCTTGGGACCCCTGAGTCATCTTCCTTATTTGTTGGATGTTCGTCCCATTTTTTTCGGCTCGGTCGGGGTCGAGACCTGTGATTGCTATTTGGTGCCTTTCTCTTTGATTGGTACCGGGATCACTTCCTCGACAACGAACATCTCCTTTGCAGCCGGTTGTTCCCCGTGAACCATTTTGATTCTATCTAGGGTTGGAAGTTCAGCATTTGGTGCAAGGTCGATGGTACTACCCTCATTCTATCAACACACGGTCTTCCGAACAAGACATTGTACCTTATGGCCCCTTGATCAAATAGAACTTTGCTTGTTGAGTGGTTCCCGCCGTGTTGACTGGTAGGGTTATTTCTCCCTTTGTTGTCTCGCACGCCATATTAAATCTGTTTAGCACCCGGACTACTAGCACGATCTAGTCCAATAGCCCAGTTGCTCTACGACTCTCCATCGGATGATGTTGGCCGAGCTACATGGATCAATTAACACACGCTTAACTTAAAATTTATTAATAAGTATAGATATAACCGGTGCATCATTGTGAGGTTGAATGATGCCCTCAGCATCTTCGTCACTAAATGAGATGGATCCATCCGGAACATAATCTTGACTTTGTTTTTCTCTTGTGATGGAGACTTTGGTGCGTTTCATCATCGACCCTTGGGGAACGTCTACTCCTCCGATAATCATATTAATCACATGTTGGAGTTCTTCCTACTCGACCAGCTTGTTTGAGTCCCTGTTGATGAAATGGTTTTTGGCGCGTTCGCTTAGGAATTCCTGAAAATGCCTATTATTGAACAAACGAGCCACTTCTTCTCTCACTTGTCGACAATTATCGATTCTATGACTGTGAGTACCGTGATACTTGCATATCAAATTGTGATCCATTTGTGCCAAATCAGACTAAAGCGGCCTTGGCCATTTGGTCTCCTTGATGCGATCGATGGCTGACACTATGCTTGTTGCATCTACGTTGAAGTTATACTCCTACAGCCTCGGGGAATCCCTGACTCCGAATGATCTGTCGAGCTCGTTCCTATTCACCAACCCTCGATTGCTCGGGCCCTGATAATTGCTTCTGTCGTTCCTGGTCAAATTGTGACCACGTCTATTTCCTTTCCTATTTGAGTTGTAAGGCTGGTATCGGTCTCGGGGCAGCCTCGACTACCGATCTACTACTCTTTTAGACTTGTCTTTCACTTTACCGGGATAAAACTGTTCACTTTACCGGGATAAAACTGACCCCGATAAATCCCCTAATTAGTCGTCCTCGACTTTTATCTTTGACCGATACCTATTGTGAACATTGGACCAGGTAACTGTTACCAAATTTTGCTTCAGTTGTTGAGATGCAACCAAACTTTGGGGGTTGAGGCCCTTAGTAAATACCTAAACGGCCCAATCGTGCGCAACCGGCGGTAACTGGTAAGTCCATTTGTTCCATATAGAACCTTGACAAAAATTCCCGGAGCATTTCGTTGTCCCTCTATTTGACTTTGAACAGGTCTGATCCCCTCGTCTCAACTTTAACGGCTCCAGTGTGAGCTTTAACAAAGGCATCTGCAAGCATAGCAAACGAATCAATAGATTTTTGAGATAAATTATGATACCATATCATCGCTCCCTTGGACAGGGTTTCTCCGAATTTCTTCAGCAACACCAACTCAGTCTCATCATCCTCGAGGTCGTTGCCTTTTATAGCGTATGTATAAGAGGTCACATGATCATCTGGATCTATGGTCCCACTGTATTTGGAATATCGGGCATTCGAAACCTTTTCGAAATCGGCTTTGGTGTCCCGCTCGGGGGGAAAGGCTTTTGAATGAACCTTTTGATATCCGGTCCCTTCACTATCGGAGGTGCCCCTGGAATCTGATCAACCCTCAAGTTGTAAGTTTCCACTTTCATATCGTTTGCCTCTATCTTTTTTTCGCCGGATTCTACACATTTTGTTAGTGCCTCTAGCATTTTCATCACCACGGAAGTTTTCCCGGATCCAGACTCGTTGGGCTCGGTGACAACGCGTTCTTCCCTCTAGGTATCTTCTTCAACCCATTCGGGTTCAACAACGTTGTTTGCGTGATTTTAATTTTGCAGTTGTGGTATGACAATTTGTTGGGCTTGCAACATCTCAAAAATCAAACGTAAGCTAACTCCATCGCCTCTCCCTTCGGGTGCTTCACGATCTGATTACCAAGGTGCCCCGTGAATGTTGTTAGTGGGATCAGTCGGTAGGTTAGTGTTGACAGCAACCTATAAGTTGGCATAGACCGGATCAGCAACTGGTACGCCATTAGGGTCGACAAAGGGTACATTGTTGCTCGGCAACCCCTTGTTATTTTCACCGTGATGGCCTGATTTGGCGTCAAAACTTAAGTGAGAAGATTGAGAGGCTGACATATTGAATAGTCCTGAAATCAAACTTCAAAGAACAAGTGTAAAATAGTGTGTGTTATCAAGATTCGTATTAAATCATCACTATTATCCTTAGCCCAACGGTGTACGCCAAACTATTTACCCCTTAAAAATAAATAACAATTAAATTTGTACACATTTTAAAGGATATGTGGTTTAATTTAACACAAATAATCCAAGAACAGTAAATTGTTGAATTGAAATAAGCCAGAATAATCAAACCAAAGTGACACAATAGTTAAGTCTTACGTTTAGCTTAAATGCCAATGATCAATCTTGATTGAGCCCTCGAGATAGAGCTCAGATCCGAATAAATGAGTAAATAACTGAAGAACGCTTAAATCGATTGCTGAGAGCTAAAAAAAAATTATTGCCTTGTTATGCGTGAAAAAGTGAGTCCGAAAAATAAAAGGGTCTTCCTCATTATATAGTAGAAGAGATTTAACCCTAGTATAAGTCTAAATGAAGTACAAACCTTTTTCTTCCTCCTTTTCCATGAAAATAAGTTCCGCAGTCAATATCGAGTGTGATCCGCGCTGCAATATCCAGCTGGTGGTGGATATTTCGACTTCTCGTTTGTCTCCTTCAACCGCCTTTCCTTTACCCTCGTTTATTCATCTCATTCGAGCTTGTTTTCCTCCGGGTTCGACCATGCTCGAGACCCGTTATATCATTTGTCCGTTCTTGATTTTGATTTGTGGGTATCTTTGGGCTCACCCGAGCTAGTAACAGGTAACGTCATTCCTTGTTTCATAACAAAAAATTGGAGATAACTCTATCCTTGATTATACCCGTATATAGTTATAAAAAAACAGAGACAAAATTTAAATGGCATCCAGAGAAAATAACTATTTATTGTTCCGCTAATAAACTACTGTTTGTGTTGGAAAAATGGAATCCAAACATAATTTTATTTAAAGTAGTATGTTTTTCAAATGAACGCATATTCACGGAATAATTCTTTTTTTTTTCTTGACTCTGTTTTTCGACATTCTCCCAAAGAGTACGTGGGCCTCAACTGTTTCAGCAAACAAGCACGTGCACATCACGGGATTAACTTTCCTTCCTGAATTTACACATCATCATCATCTTCAGTTCCATCTTTCCATTCTACAGCCTCTGCTCTCCGCTGATCGCCGTTGCTATAAGACGGAGCTCCGTTACCTTTTCTATCGGAGTTGACCCGGAATAGTTTATGAGCCTATATTCTTTCCAATTTTTCTCACATTACAGAACCCTTATTAAACCCTTGAGCATTCCACCACCGTCGTGGTCGTTGACGATGAAGGACCGGCCGCCGCCGCCGTCATCCGTTTACGTACCTCCACATCAACGCCTCCTCCGTTCAGTAATCACTGCTGTTCCGCCACAGTCCGGCGGCTTCCGTTCTACAGCAATCGATCCCAAACCTATTCCGAACGCTCAGCAGCAAATTCAGCAGCCACAACAAATGCGAGTGCTGCAACAGAAGAGAACTTCACGATTTGATGAGGTTTTACTTTCTCAGGAAGTTTCCGCTTGTGATATTGACCTTACACCCTATCAGGTAGGTGAGGCTTCTCTCGGCTCGTCTGTTTGTAGCACTTTGAAGTTTAATGATGTTAACAAGAGAACATTTCCATAATTGCAAA